TTCAGGTAGCCAGGGAAAGCTGCTTGTGGGCCCACACTGTAAATCAAGTTATGCGAAGTTATCTCAATAAAAAAAATAAAAATTGCTTAACAAGGAAAGAAAACCCCAAAATTCCCACAGACGTGTGGCTGCTTTCATAGAATTGCAGAATATTCTGAGATAATCTCAGGGTTTCTCTTTCAAAAATGCTTTTTAAAGAAGACAGTGGAAATTCTAAAGTTCCAATTTTCCCTTTCTGTTTAATTCTATTTTATAGTTTCATTTTTTCTCTTTCCTTTCCTCTTCTTTTTGATAGACCAGATCAAGAGGTTAAGCAGGGCCTCATACATATGCTGAGACTGGAACACAGTCATATGGTAAGAACATGGCTTTTATCCATTGTGATTCCTGGTTCCTTTGCTGCAGAATATGACAACTTTGTAGTAAAAAAAAGGTTCACAAAGAAGGGACAAGCTCACGGGAGAGGAAGCCAAGTGCTCTCCCAGATGACCTTAATTCCATCACAGCACACTTTCCTGTATGGAGATTGGCAAAACATCCATAGAGTAATTAATTTCAACAAAGATGGCATATTAGCTTGTAAGATATACATTCTTTGGGACTTCTCATAGGTATGGAGTCCAAACACAAACATACAGAAGATGGAAATCTAAGACTTTCATATATCATTTTTCCACATTTTGTCTGGTTTTTTGGCAAGTATAGTGAGATTTTACTTCCTGGAAGTTTTTTTCCATGTCTGTAGTATGGAAGTATTCAGAAAACCACAGTCTACCTAACAAATATGTTATACATTTCCGGTGTGTTCTCTGTTGTTTGCCTACTAAACCTGCCATAGCAAATTTAATTCTGTTGAGTAGTGTGACCCTAGTTCTCTCCAACAAATACGATTCCATTCAGCAGACTTCACAGTCTCATTTTGATGATTTTCTAGGCAATTTGCTAAGGTACTGTATTATTCAGAGCAATGGAAAAATTCTTGCTTTTTCATTTACTTGTCAATACATTTTTCACCATCCAAATATAAACACGGGATTTATTTATACTTTGTATTAATACAATTAAATTTGTTAGTCTCTACTTTCTTGACTTATATGCCTAAAGTATCATTCTTTAGCTCTCCCTTCTTGCTAGAAACCAATCTGTTATACAGCAAAAATCTTCCTTGGCAGTTCTGCTTTCTGTTACATGCAAGAGAGGATTTTGGTTGTTTTCTTGCTGATTTTTCTGGTAAAAAATATTTTTTCTGTCTCATGCTATTTTACTGTTAGTATCTTAAAAATTGTCTTTCAGAATACTCAGTCTGTAAGTATTTATGGGGAAGAGACAGTGGCTTCCATGAATTTTTTTCTTTGCTGTTTTAAACACACGCAACTGATTGCTTATTCTTAGAATATGGAAAGAACTGATGACAAGGAATTTCCCTGGTGCAGGGAATTTTTTCTTGTTTTGTCAGACTTGCAGCACAGCCAAATTGATATAAATTCATTTGAGACAATGAATGACATATTGCTAATTTGTATGGTGATAATCTAATGCATTTTAGTTTAATTGTTTTGTAACACATGGAAAGTTGGTATGTATGTGTAATTTTGATCAATTCATGTGTCTCATGTTAAATACCTAAGGAAGAGGGATTCAGGAATAAATTTAGAGACATCAAAAACTGTAGCCTTAAAGTTTTCTGTAGTGGTAAGTATAGGTGAAGGTTGATGGCCTTACAAGATTCTTTTCTGCACAATAGTATTTCTTCTGCATCAGCATCAACAGGTCTCTGCTTTGCTTTATGGTTGGTAAATTCAATCCTTATCTAAAGGCTTTTTAGGAGGCCTCCATATCTGAAAAAACCCAGACAACAATGATAATTTATATACAATGGAAAACTAAAAGGAAAAAAGCTCCCAACACTTTAATAGAAAGATTATTAATGAATTCATTTAATCTGTTATACATATTGCTGTGCACATGGTTTTAATAAAATCTGTTTTTTTCCTTACCATTTCACACATAAGATGAAAAAAAAGGCAGTAACTTGACATTTGCAGGACAGAATTAGTATTTTCTGAAGTTAGCTTTGTTCTTTTTGGATATTGTTTTCCATTCTGTCAATAAAGAAAGAAACCTCAATAGACTTGAACACTACTTTGCAATCTGTCTGCTGTGGCCTGTGCCAGCATACTAACTTTTCTGCTTTTTTAAGGAGCATAGATTCACTAAAAGCAATTATAACCACATGAGAACATTCAAGACAGGCAAAAAAGAGAACGAATTAAAAATGAAAGAACCTGGAAAAGAGTCTGGCACAAACATCAGTGGGAAGAGCAACTAGTATTTTGTAGGAATGGAACTATGCAAATATTATTCACATCACTTAGTGATGGAAGGAGAGTAAGAGGCATTGCTATACAGATAATGTGGAAAGGAGTCCCGCCAAATGGCCGTTCCTGGATGAAGCCAACAGCAAACACAATGGTGTGCTGTGCTCAGACAGTTTCTCACCCTTATTACACATATATTTTTTTGTTCTCTTTAATTACAAACCAGGATGACTCAGCACACCTAACTTTTTTTATTTGTTTTAGGCATTTGCTACTTCTTGGGAGGTGAGTTTGACCGTATGTCCAAGGCTATACAGGTGGCATGGGCGGAAGCAGAAACCTGGACACAGATGAGGAAATGTGGTGTGGAAACATAGGCCTGCCCTCCTTTTTGAGGTTGATGGTGGTCTACGCAACAGCTGGGCCCTTCCAAAGAGGGAAGCTTGAACATTTCCAGTATCTGAGGATGGACTGGAAATATTCCAGTGCCTGCTGCAATTGTAAAAAGGGAAACACTATGAGAAAGATATGTGTCCTAAGAAAATCAGAAAGCCCAAGTAACTTATGCTCTAAGTGATCCTGGGATCCACAGGCTGGACATTGCTTTGCCTTCCTTACCGAAAGGTGAGAAAATGCCTACACAGGCCAAGTGTCTGCAAGGCAATGTCTTTAGCCATTCCCCGTCATGACAACTACAAGAGGTAACAATCCTTTCTCACCCTCTCCAGAGAATGTGCCGTTTGTGACAGCATTCAAGTCTAAGCATTATTGAATACTTTCCTGCCCATGAGAAGGTTCTAAGCTTCCATCAAGGGAAAGGCTCTATCTAAACCACAGAGGAGAACTCATACTAGCTCCTGCTTACCCTGCTTACGAATATTTCATTCCTAAACTGAAAAGTTAAAACGTTGCCAGGGAAGTGATATGTTGCATTCCCCTCATTAGTTCCTCCCCAAAAAAATGAAATGCAGAAACATGGGTGATGTGGCATCATCTTTTTTTCAGCCAGGGAAAGGAACAAGACCCAGATGGACACCTGTGCCACAGTGGTACCGGGAAGGGAGTCTAGCATGGAGAGAGAAGGAACATTTAAAGTATTCTCCTACTTTCCACATTTCATAGGAGTTGCAATGTGCACATCCGTGTGGAACAAACCGGCTTCTCCAAATTCCCTACAGATCTCCCTTATTCCCTTTGTAGCTGTAGACCAGCTTCACTGAGCTTCACTTCAGGCTGTTAGCTGTGAGTAACAGGAGCTGTCATCATAAAAAAAGTGATAGGCAGCATACAGACCAAATAGATTTGGAGATCCAATCTTTTATTTTATTAAGGTTTAGTTACAGATCTGTAAGATAAGTATTTTTTTAATTCTCAGACTGATCAGTGGAAGTGTCTCTTGTTAAAGACAATGAGAAACAGAAAGGATTCCTTACATTTATGGAAATACTTATGCTTGTACAGATCTTTTTCTAGATGGAATTGTGCTTGCAGTACTAGTAAGACAACAATAGCTTTTATGGCAGCTGGAAATTCATCAAATAGCACTTAAGACTTTTAGAATAAGTAAAAGTTCTCCTTAGACACTACAGATAAAAGCCTAGCTCCTGGAATTCAGTGGGAGTTTCATCATCCATTTTAGTGGAGTCTGTATTTCAACACACAAGTATGAAGTCATAGAAATCAGAGATGGAAAAAGCTGCTTAATCATTCAGACCAGACCCAAGACCTTTCTTTATTCCTTTTTATTTTTATCCTTAAGGACTTCTTTGGTATCTGACAAGCTTTTGAAGGCTCTTTTTTTTCTGAGGTATTCCTTCTTTCCTAAACATCTCAGACCTCTGTTTTTTTCTGGGCAACTGAAGAGAAGGGCAGGCAGCTTTGAACTCTTGATGTTCCTGACTGATGAGTTCATCCTCCTTCTCCCTTCTATATCTTGCCAGCACCCACACCATCTCATGTTTTCAGAAGGATGAGAAAGAGTTTCTGTACCCTCACTTCACCTTTAGGATGGTTTCTAGTCACAATGCACACGGGAAAACCCCTGCCAACTGACAACACATAGCAGCCTCCAGTAACCTAGGTTTGCCCACGTAACTTTAATCTGTCTTGTGCCAGTTCAGCTTTACACTCTACAATGGAGTTTCTCTGTCTTTTGTAGGCTTGTCACACCTAATTTTTCACATGGTGTAAAATAAACTCTGTTAAGGCATATATTAACCTTAGCAATTAGGGTGCATAAGGAAAAGGAAAACCAAAACGCTGTTTTCCAAGTGGGAAGAGGATGACACCTACTCATAAAATGTTTGAAAGTTTAGCAGATTTGGTCTGCATAATTCAAACTAATATCTACAGTCAGTGAGGTTTCCTAAAAGGGGTGCATAAATTAGAGAGGGAGCAAGCATGAAAGTCTGGATATTTTTATTCATCCCCTGGCAACTTTTTGGAAAGCAGTAGTCTGATGGAGCATCACAGGAGATCTTGTGAAGAGAGTTGAGCAGGTGCACTAGTAAGGTTAAAGAAGGTGGAGAAAAGTGTCAAATAGCTAAAGTTATTAAAGTAACTAAAGCATCAGGTTACATGCAGAGGTATTTTCAGGAGTGTCAGGGGACCTCATTCATTTTGATCACAACCAAGTCTGGCAATCTGAGTGCATTGTGACTATCTGCTGTGTAATGCCTTTGAAGGTCAGGCTTCACTGAAGAAAATGCCTATAAGTAATGAAACGCTTGTCTTTTAATGCCTGTTGAGACTTAACTGTTAGTAAGTTTTGGAAACTTTTTTTTCTCTATACTTATTCTGCTTAGTTTTATTTCTACTTCATTGTTTTTAGTCATATATCTTAGTACAGTCTTCTTGACCCCTGATGATCTGTCACAGTATCTTCATAAGGTAGTGAAAGATAAGACAGATGCAAGATGAACAGTGAAAAGGGGCTCCCAGGTGTGGGTGCAAGGACAGGAGGTGGCAGTAGCTCCTACAGGGCCCCATGACTTCACTACAATGCAGGTGGGATGCTGGTACCCACTGGTCTCCTTCCTCCCACCAGAGATCATCCTAGTAGCCTGCAGGAAAGCTCAGCCTTATTGCCAGCACATCACAAAAATTTTCTTTCTTTCTTTCTTTCTTTCTTTCTTTCTTTCTTTCTTTCTTTCTTTCTCTTTCTCTCCCTCTCTCTCTTTCTCTCTCTCTCTCTCTTTCTCTCTTGCTTTCTATTTAGGATGCTAAAGAACATGAAGGAGGGCTTGTGTAACAGCCTAAACAAGGATGTATTAGTGTGTTAGCAGTTCTACTCTTTCCTCATGTGATATCCCTCTTGCTTCCAGTTTTTAAACTTAGTTGTGTGTCATTTTTCTGTGGGTTAGCATGCAAGGTGTGTGCAGTATCCACACTGCAGATGTCTTTATAGGGGCTAACTCCCAAGCTTCTCTTTACTGCAAGCATATGAAAAAAAAAATTGTGTGTGGTTAACAGATCTGCTTTAAAACTCTACTTCTGGAAGACATGACCAGTGCCTTACGGGAGCCTCTTCTTCTTGCTCTCCTAAAGAAGAGTTAGATGACCAGCTCAGATGTACACATCTATGCTGCTGATACACACTTGAAAAGCCCATCTATTAAGACATCTATATACCCGAATGACATTTTAATTTGGAGGTGCTGAAATCAAGTTCACAGCACTGAAGTAAGCTAAAAGCTAGAAATTGATATATGGGTTCTAGACATTCAAATGTGAAAATTGCACCTTTCAAGTTCGCAGTGAAGAAATGTATTAATCATTTCACCATATTCTAGTTCCTCTAAGACAAAATCCTATAATTTTATCCCTATAGGACCCTATATCTACAGATCAAGACTTAAGGATCTGGTGATCTGGACATCTGTAAAATCTTAGATAGGGTCTAGAAGATGTAAACCATATGTTTGTCATGCCCATCAAATCCTGGAATGAGACTCATATGTAGATCTGTGTTTTTTCCACTGCCATATGGGAGGGGCATATTGTACAAAATATGGATGAAGGTACGGGTCTAGGTAGAGATGAAAAGTATCTGGTAAGAGCACTTTGTCTTTGAGAAGGAATGTATCAATAAACATGTCGTTGCTCTTTATGATGGATATGTGTATTACATTTTGCATACACTTACCTAAGGCCCTGAACTGCAGCACAGTGTCAATAATTTCACAGTTTTCCTCTCTTCTTATCAACAGTTGTGTTCTATGGAGCTTTATAGTTTAATGTGTGATTGTTGGAGAGGTAGATCATGTTCTCCAAAGTTTCCTGCATGTGAAAAAATGGCATAACACTTAATTTAGAATGCTACTTGTCAAAAATTGTATAGCAAATCACTCATGATCTCTCCCCTTTCCAATTAAAAACCTACCTTTAAGAAATGTGGCAATAAGCGGAGGCACATGGGCTGCTTGGCAGTCTGCCTAAAAATCCCTGCAGCCAATGAATAATGATTACACTACAAAGCATCTGCCATCCAGAAATAGACTGTACTGTTTCCTAAACTTGCTATTGTGTCTTTGTACACTACATAGTGGAGGTGAATGTATTTTTTCTTCTGGTCACAGTGAGGAGCCAGATTTTAATTTAAATTAAAAATGTGATTAAACAAAGTCCAATAATGCATAATGTTAGCAAAATATTAAAATATATCAACTATTCTGCTTCAGATTTTTCTATATGAGTAAGTATTTTGCTGTAAAACTAGAACAGTTCTAGCAGAAAATTGTTTTCCAGTAGTCTCCTGCAAAAAAAAAAATCAGCATTAATTGAGATTAACACCTGACATCCCAAAACAAATATTTCAGGCAGGTTAATAAACACAGAGAGTTGTCAGGGCAGGTCAAGCCATTGCAAGCACTCCTCCACCACAACAGGAAAAGTATTTTCATTATCATCAGGGATAAATCAAACACCAATTCTGTCTTTTTTTACAGGCAGAGGCATCCAGAAAAAGTGCTGAAGGGTCACGAGGAACAAAAATGCCTCCAGAAGGCTGGGTGGAAACAGCCAGCCATAAATAGCTGGAACAATTATGAACTGGAGAAAATGAAGAAAAGAACTACTTTCCTGCTTTTTCTTTGTTTGTTATGAAGCCATGGTGCATCTCTGTTAGAAATGAATAGGCACTCAGCACCTTGATATGGTACCACTCTTTCATCAAACCAAATCCCCTTGTATTGTCTAACATTTACGGTACATGGACAGTGGCACTTCTTTTTCTCCTCTATGTTTCAGTGACTTGAGTCTCAGCCGCAGAGATTTCTTCTGTCTAGTAAGCAAGGAAAATTAAAATGATTCTTAGTTCTTAGGACTTACAAAAGAATACGATGTTGTCAACTGAATGGGAATTTGGCAAGTTTACCTATGGACAGCTTATTCTAATCTATGCCTGGGTTTGACAACCAAGTAGAATTTAAGAAGCAAAGATTGCATGTTAGTACTGGGGAGCATTAATAGAAATGCCAGCTCAACTCTTCCATATGCTAAGTGGCTCAATTTGAAAACTTGTGGATTTAGGATATAAAACCAAACATAACACATGTAAAAACAAATGGCTGAACTAGGAATAAAGTTTCAGAAATTTTGGAATTGGTGGATTCAGCTTTACTCCAGAAATCCTGAAGAGAAAAAATTGATATGTATTCTGAGCAAGGCTTCACTTTTGTTTGTTTCTTAGTGCCTTAGGAAGTGGGTAAATTTTAGTCAGATTATCACAACTTGAAAAGATGTCCAAAGGTGAAAACGATGATCTCTGCTGTGCTGTGATATTGTTTAGGATGTGAATCTGCAATTGGTTATGCACTAGACGCGTCTTCTTTTTTATTGACTGCACGAAGGTCAGAGTATATAAAATTATGCACAGCTGTAGAATTGGCTGGATCAAAGTCACAGACAAAGTAACCAGACAGCTCTGTAATGATGGATCCAAAAGTTCACTTGGATAGTCTATAACCATATTATCTTCTTTTTCTTCTCTTTTATAAACAAAAAAGATTCACCTGATTTTTCAGGATTGGACAACTATCCTTCAAGAAATTATTCAATTTTTATAAGTCAATAAAGAGAGCTATATATTTCTTCATTTGTTATAAATATCAAAGAATAGTTGTAATAAATATCAATACAATAGTCGTAATTTTAATACATGAAGCGAAATTTAGCCTCTGACATAGAAGCTATTACTAAAATGAAAGAGCATGTAAAATGGTAGAACTGTGTATATTTTTCTGATTCTTTTCCTTATGAGGAAGGTTACTTATTGCAATTGTTTTCTCTTAACATCATTTTCTTATTATATATCAACCTTGGTTCAAGCATCTTGATACTATTGTCCCACATCAAACTAAATATTACTTGGCAACAGGCAAGGACAAACAGATAGGCTTACAATTTGCTTTTATAATTAGCTGCTGTGTCAGTGTGAAAGCTAGGACACATGAACAAGGTACATGACCATGAACTGCCATGCAAGACTACCTGCTAGACTCATTTGCAGCACTGACCATTATGAACAAATAGGTAGCAGTGTGTAATCTCAGGCTGCAAAAGGGCAATTTCAGTGACTGAAATGTCTGATTACTGAAAACGTATCTAGAAATGCAAGTAGAGATGGACCATGACTGGTAATGAACAGAAAGCTAGAATCATCCCACTTAATTTCAGGTTCTCAGCAATGGTTTAAATTATGGGCAGAGACCTGCTAAATTTCTTTTTCTGTCACTGGAGAGAGAGAACACTGCCAGAGGCAGAGGTCTAAAGTGAGGGGGGATGAGTGAAAGCACAACTGTTTCCAGGCACAGGGAAGGTGGCATGTATTGCTTTCACATCTTTCCACATGTATTTCCATAGAAGGGTAGTTCACATAAGGCCTAACTGAGCTGGGGCTACTACAATTCAGACTCCCCCTCCCTCCCCACCCACAATGAGTAGATGCTACCCATGATATGAAAACTTCAGAGTTTATAGGTTACATGCAGGCCATCTCCTTAAAGCACTTGCCTTTGTAGACTGAAAATTATTTGAGTGTTCTTCTTGCATTATAACATGGTAAAGGAATTGTCTGGACATAGAAGAGACATGACAGTGCTGGGTGCAGATACGATGGGAGCAAATATGCTGATCATTGAAATGGCTGCTACCCTGGGAATCATCACTTAGGGTTCTGGGACAAGAGGAAGTTTAGGACCTCCTTAGGTCCCTACCAACCCAACCAGGAAATTCGCCGCTAAATAATGCATTTGCTTAAGTTGTGTGAAGTTACACGGAGTTTTTAATTATTTCACATTCCGTTTGATAGGGAAATGTGCTATTGTAGGCTACTTGGCTGTGTTGTCTTATGCCTTGCAAGAGCTTAGGAAGTAATGTGAACACATTTAGGCAGTATATGTGTAGATGAGTTTGCACATATGTATAATGCAAAACCTGTATATTGGGATTGATAATTTCTGTGGGTTGAATCTGCATGTTAGATGCAACCACAGCCAGAGGTTTTGTACTGTTTTAAGCTATGTGATTTGATACAACAGAACATGTCAGAAAACCAGGACCACATTGTCCAACTTCACTTCTAGAAAAATAAGAGATTAGTTTTGTATTTTGAATACACTTTGACCAAGTGATTATGTAGGTGTTTTACTCTGAACACATACTTCAAGATGTTTCAATACTTTTCTTTATCAGGGTCTTGGTTATATTTATGCTTTTGTTTTTTACCATGAATATATCCAGTCATGATTTTCCTGATGGCAGGATCTCCCTGTGTAATGTGTGTATTTGTTTTCTTGAAGATGTAATGAGTTTAAGACGCTTTCAGTAAAACAAAGAAATGTTCTGCAAATTCTCTTCATTCTTGACAGCTCTACCCTAAGGACAAGACCATTGGGTTCCCAAGCTTATACAATCATTTTTGTCTGAGAACAGTGAACCATAAGAAACTCCTGTTATTGCTCAGAAAATATGTTGATTTCACTAAATAGCTGAAGGATAGAGAAAGAAATTATTTGGTCTTAAGCATTATTTGGCCCAGTATGGATTAAAAGAAATCTTGTCCCCTTCTCCTCATCTTATCTTCCTAAAAAGCAGTAAATCTGTTTCCTTATTGATTCTATCTGTAAATATTTTTTAATAACTCCAGATTGATAGCTTAAAGTTTCAGAACATTCACTCAGTCTTTTTAATTCACGATGGAGATATCATGATGGATATAAGGCATTTAAATACTTTAGTGATAACAGGAGGGTTGCAGAGAATCCATATCTATTTCACTGAGCTCAAAAGAAAGCAGAACATTTTCCTGTAGCTTAGAAAAGATCTATACATACTGTGCTATTGTGTGTCAAAATGGACGCCTCTGTGTTGTAAGCTGATTTAGGTTACTCAGCTGATTCTCCAACTAGACACTTATTGCTCCTTATCTTTCATTTCTCTGATCTAAATCAGTCATAAATTGCAAGCATAGGTTTATCACAGAGGTGAGAGGAGACAGCTTCAGTTCCCTGAGCCATCAGCTGGGGTAATATGTGTCCTGTGTTACATCAGGCAGTTGTGGCCACGCAGTTGTTCAGCCTCTCCTTTCAGATCAGGGCTTCAGCTACGTCTGTCTTAAAAGCACCGCTCCTCCAAGAGCCTCACCCCAAATGCCTCCGGGGGTAAAATCTGAATAATAAGGATAAGATTTGAATAATAAAATGAAGACAACTTCCAGCTAGTTTCTATACACTCTTATACCTCCTTGGAGAAGGGATTTGGGCAATTTTAAAGTGTGTCATAAAAAAGTACTATGGTAAACACTTTTTTTCCTCCTAAATGGCTGTAAAGGGAAGCAAGAATGGGCATCTCAGGGACTGATACCTGCTGTAGAGATACTTAGAGTCAAATGACTAGAGTTTTGTGACCATAAGAAAATTGTAATATATATTACAGTGCACACTGGCCTGAAAATCAGGGTACTGTTAGGGTGATGTGAACTGGTTGAATTTTTAATACTGAAAATTTGGCCTCAAAAATGTGAGGGCCAGTTACTGTGAAGAAATGTACCTCTTCAGAAGTGATTATTGTCCCTATTCTTGTAGTCTGTGGGCAGACGTACTTTTATTTAACTAGCTAGAATAGTTTATCAGTTCACTGCTCCGTCAGTTTGTTACCACAAGCCCACCAGAGCTTAATGCCACATCCTTCGCTGGAATGACATGAGTATTAAACAGAGAAAGAGTCAGTAAAGAATACCTGTTGAAAGCAGACTTTGCAATACCTGGGATGAATTTATCCTCTAGTGTTGTTTTTCACTTCACTAACTTCACCATATTCATGAAAAATGGGATAAGGCAACAGAAATGTGGCAAAATAGGTGGGGCTTTTTCAAGGTAAGATGCTCCCTTGTACCTTTGTTTGAAGTGAACTGGTCCATAATGCCACCTTGGCAGCCATGGGCTATTCCAAATTGTCCAGATTCACTTATTAAAGCTATTCAATTTTATGGCTCTTGCCAAGATTAATAGAAGCATCAAAACTTGTATAAAATGGAAAACAGATGCAGTAGAGGGGGGAAAAATAAAACCTAAAAAACCACCCCCAAACAAACCTAAAAAAAAAACCCCCACACCCAAAGCACAATTATTTACATCAATGCTGAGCAAAGTAATTCAAATTCTTTAGAAGAGACGATACTTAAAATTCACAAGCATAGATCAACTTGTTGAAGAGTAAGAAAGTTTATCATTTAAAGATTGTGTTGGAATTCAGGAGCCAAGCAACTACAGGCAGAAGAGAGACTATATTAGGATTTGGTGAGGCTATATGCCTGGATTCAGAGATGGCAACTCCTATGTACTCATTAAATGTTCTTTAAAAAGTTACATCCAGAGTCATTTTCTGTGGTCATAGGCAAACAGCACAACTAGTTTGCTGGCATTTCAGATTTTCTTCATCTTGTTTTAAATTCTTTAGATTCACTGTACTATATAAAAATGCTATAGTTTGCATATAGGGAGTTGTGGTTTTCTTCAGATCTGTGGGTTTTGCATCCTGGAAGTCTTGTTTTGAGACCAAATCTGGTC